AAAACTTATCCAGGTAGCTGCATTTACCCAGGTAAGTAACTTATCGAAAAGCGAATGGGGCCTAAGAAACACCGCCAATTCAGCAATTAGGCCTGCGGGCCTGACCTCGGGCCCAAAACACCAAGCCCGATTGTTTGTTGGGCTGGGCTTAGGATTTGTCAAAAAAAACCGACTTGGCCTGACTCATTTATATAATATAAAATATATAATATTTATTATAATATATATATACATTAATAATTTAATATATACATTTTTTATTTTTTCTTTATAATTTCTCTCTCTCTCTCTCTCTTTCTCTCTATTCTGCCGCTTCAACAGCGGCATGAGCTATATACTTCGGGCTCGGGCCCAGGTCCTAGTTTTGGGCTTTTTATGAGGGCTGCGCTCGGGCCCAAGTTGTAGACCCGATGATCGGGCCGGACTCAAACTCGGGCCTTAAAAAAATCTGTTAATGCAGAGTGAAAGCCTGACCATGAACAAGCCTATTACTGACCCAGCTGATTGGATTAGTGATGGTCATAACACAGGTTTGGATCCGGTTTGGATCAACTTTCAATGTCATTTTAGAAAAAAACTTTTAACTTGGTCAACAACCATTGATTGCGTGAGTGATTGAACCATTTATCCATCTAACCCATTCAATGGGTTATTAGGTTTTCTTTTCTTTTTTTCCTTTAGATTTTTTATGTAAATAACATCAGAAATTGACCCATTGACCTGAATGGTTGACGGCTGACCATTAACTATTGACCCAGAGGATAAAACGCTTTGACCATGAAGACCTTAGAAAGTAACACCTTTTTGAGATGCTGAGGTAATGTCTAAACGGTAACAGATCCCATCAAACTTATCGGGAATTCAAGACAATAAACTTCTTTTTTAAGCCTAAAAAGGCACATTAAGGTTATGTTTGGTTTGAAGGAAAAGATAGGGAAATGTGGGGAAATCTATACAATATTTCTAAAGGTTTTCCTATATTTCCCTTCCTTTACCTACTTTTTCCTTTAAACCAAACATAACATAAATTGATAAAATGCTCAGATTACAAACAAGATCAAACAATCAGCACAACGCATGAAACCAGGTCTGAACATGACCCAAGAAATAAACCCAACATCAAGCAATAAATTTCCTTCTCAACCTTCATGGCTTCAATTCACATAAGCCACCAAAACCCTAGGAGAAATATAGTGAAACTAGGGCAATAATAACACTTGAATGGCTTAATCTAAACAAAGAAACAACGATTTAGTTTTACATTAATAAATTTTGTAATCCTGCTAAATGGTTTTGGTTGTAATGGATACAGATATGAATTCCGAGACTAATAGTCTCTCGCCTCTCGTATGTGACCTTGGCATGAGTTTTCCAGCAACTAAAATAGGCTAAAATGATGTTAAAATGAATTGCTGAGTTATGGAAACACTTCTAGTCAGCTTTTAATGTCAAGAAAAATCTAAATCTGTTAAAGCTTAAAGAGTTTTTGCAAATCTCCAGTCTGAACACAATGGAAGAATTTGAAGCTAAAGGCTCAAATAATTGGAGAATTCTGGCGAATGAGATCTTTACATAGGTCAGCAATGCTTCTAAAATCTCCTCTTCCTTCTTTTGGGCTCAAGTTGGATTTTTATTGATAGAGAAAGGAAGAAAACTAGGTTTAAATCTCGCTAATCACAAAGCTTGGTCTTCAAGAGAATGTTTTCATGGAAAAAGGGCAACGATTTTTAAAGGAAAAGCTTTGTAGTCAACCTTTCCTTTTTGATGCAACATTTCTCCTTGATTTGGGGTTGATTTTCATGGGTTTTGTGCATCCAATGAGAGTCTTGGGCATGCCTATCATTTCAGTCTTATATTTGGAGCTTCTAATGGTATAAAACATAAATTTGACTCACCAATAAAAACTATTTTATCTTTCCTTAACTTTAAGTGGGGGTATCTTTGGGTTTTTAAAGTATACTAGGCTCAATTTTATTGGTCCAAGAGTCTTGATAGGTCAAGTATGGGGCTGACATCAACCTCCACCCTCTTGAGGTCTCTAGTTGGGACAAATGAAAGGGCGATTTAATATGGTGCATTGAAATAGAATCTTTCTAGTTTAATGGTCAAATGATGTTTGGATGATGGGATCTATAGTTAGATATGTTATAGTTAATGAAATTTACTAAAACAAAATCTTCGTTTAATAATGGGGTAAACGAAAAGAATTTTGGGATGAAATTTGGTGGGTAAGAATTTTTGAACATCTTGAATCTAGTGAGAAATAAATTTGTGTTTAGAGTAGGGGTGCAAATGGATCAGATCATGATATGATCTTATTTTGCCGAATTCGGATCTCCCCAGTTCAAATCTTTGGATTAAATAATAGGATCCAATAAGAAATCAAATCGGATTCGGATTACCCCTATCTAATCCGAGAAGATCTACTCCAATATATATTTTGTTTATTTATTTATATTACATTTTTGTAAATTTATTATATTATTTATTTTTTTATAAAAAACATGTATATATATGATCACAATAGTTGAAAAGATACTTGTATTTTTTTGTGTTTCTTTATTTAAATTGTTATATTTGACTTTTTCTTTTAATAATTTATTTATTGTTTTAAAATCAAATTGGATTGGATTAGATCCAAAGATCTGACGGTCTCATCAGATTTGAATTCAAATCCACATTTATGAGATCTCTCCCCTTAACAGTATCGGATCGGATTCAGATATACTTTGATTCGAATCCGGTTCAATCCGTTTACATCCCTAGTTCAGAGGTGTGGGTTAGAAGATTTGGTTTATGTCATGGTTTTAACTTATGATTTATCAACAATTGAGGAGGCTTGAAATGGAATCTTGCCTATTTGGAAGGAAATGGGGTAATTTAAGTAGGGATGGCAATTTTCCCCATTTCCCTGATCCCCGTGGGGATCCACCCTGAATGGGGCGGGGATGGGGACGATTTTCCCCCTGCAAGGATGGGGATGGGAAAATTTTCATCCCCGTTAGCGAGGACGGGGAGATCAGATCACTCCCCGCTCGCGGGGACTCCAATCCTCGCCTTGTAGGATCCCCACTAATATATATGTATATATGTATGCATACGTCATATATGTATATATGTACACATACATCTATATATTAATATTTTTAAAAATATGGTTGAATCTGTTTGAATCTTTTCTAATAGGATTGTAAATTTTAATTATTTTATTTTTCTTTTTTTAAATAAAATAAAAAATAAAAACAAAATGGTTAACATTATAAAAAATCACGGGGAATGGGGATCCCCGTAGGGATGGGGACGGGGATTTTCGCGGGGACGGGGATGGGGAGAAGCTCCCTGTCCCTGCCCCTGCCCCGCCCCGCCCCGTCGCCATTCCTAAATTTAAGTTTGAAATTGGATGGGTGGGTCATTTTGATAATTTTAAAGTTAATGAGAGGGATTTGGTTGCTTGGGTTATAATTTTTTGTGTAATTTAATTGTAAGCATCAAATTGGAATCTTTATTGATCACATGGTTGAACAAGGGAATTTGGAGTTGAAATTTGGCATGTGGGCATAGATTTAGATGAAGATTTGGGTGGATAGTTCAAATATGAGAAACTGTTTGTTCATCTTGTTTATCTAGTTTTATTCACTCAAGGCCGTTGGATTGAAATTTTGGCATTTTTAAGGTTGATCATCATATATTTGATATGAATGTGTTGAATTTGATTTTGTGAAGTTAATGTTTTAAATTGCGTAAATTAGGACTATTAGAGAGGAAGTTAGTGTGATGAACGGTGGATCCTTGGAGTTTGATAATGAAATTCAATGTGTAATTAGGTTATAGTTTTCTAAAGCTAGGGATTGTGGTTGTTAGATGTTGATTTCAATGTTCTCGTTTGATGTGTGGATTGTGCCAAAAGAGGAAATTTGGGGTTTTTGTAAGTCTTAAGTTGATGTAGTTATGCTTTTAAGCTTTGGGTATCAAAAGAGGGTATAAGGAGGTGGATTGAAGGGATTAAGCAAAAATTGGGTGCTGACACATGTTGTTGTCCTAGTTGCTACCTATGGTATACAAAATCTATTAGTATTAAGGTTGATTGGTCAAAACTTAGAAGTTGCACTTGACTCCCATATTCTTAATGATAAAACTCTATAATCTTTTTGAAATGATGGATACCCAAGAAAGATACAATGGATAAACTTATTATAACCTTCTTGGAAAATCTACACATGACTAGGCCATTTGATTTTGCTTATTGTTATTGTTATTGTATATTTGCATCTTGTGCATTATTGATTTGTTAGTCACCTAATTCTCATTTATTTTTTTTGCTCTTAAACATGAAATCACTTAATCATTGCAATTAGAACTTTTCACTCATATAAGCTAACTTTTGGTCTTTAAAAAAAGAGAAATTGGTGCATGATGTGTGTGCATGCTACACATTGTTTTTATTGTTTTATACATGGTTTTGATGATAATTTTTAATGGTTTTTACCCTAATTGAGATGAATTTCAGGAAAATAGGAATTTGGGACAATTTAGGGTTAATAGAGCATAAAGACAAGGTGATATGGCGGAAAAGGGAGCACTTCAGCCCAACAAGAAGAGAGGCCCAGCCGAAGCCTTATGGGAGGCTCCAAGAGGCGGCTGACTTTAGCAGAGTTTGAAGGGGAGTAGGACTCTCAACCAAAAGCTGTAAGAAAGAGTATAAAAGAAAAAGAAAAAGGAGAAATTAGGGTTCGACCCCTTGACACAAGAACAGAAAAGAGAAGTGCTAGGAGAAGGATCACAAGGCTGCCGAAGGAGAATTGAAAGGAGATCGAAGATTGATGCAAAACTTCTGAGTTGTCTTCTTCTTTAATTCAGCATTTCGGTAACCTAGGTTCAACTAGGGTTTTTCTTTGTTTGAATCTTTCTTTCTTTCTACTATGCGAACCATGATTAATGTTAATTCAGATCTGTAATTAATCTTTTAAGCTAATCCGATTGATAGTGATTCAATCTTGGGATTTCTTGATTAGGGTTTTCGATAATAAGAGTAATTTTGGCTGAATTGCTCTTGTTTCTTGGATTACTTAAATCGCTTGAAAAAAGGGTTTAGGAAATCAGATCAACTGATCAAGAAGATGGATTGGATGTATCTTAGAGATAATTTGCATGATTCGTTTGGCATTCATTCATCAAGAATTGACTTCCTTCGATTTCCTTGTCTTTAATGCATCTATAACAATTAAATTCTTGACAGAAATATAAGAGTTGTTGCTCGTAGATAGATGGGTATGTGCTCGAAAGAGGCTGCTCATGCAATTAGGAAATAGCCAACCCATAGCTGAAATCAACTTTAGTTGGATAGCTTAATGATATAATTGTTCGATCGGTTCTGCTAGCATTTTCGTGAAACACTTTCTCTAATTTCTTAAGGTGGTCTAATCCGAGAATACATAGGATAGCTCGTTAATTAGGAAATCAGTCTTTAGATTTCGGGCTGTTAGATAACATAAGGCAGATCTAGTACTAGTAGTTGTTGGATTAATCCTCGTGGGAACGATACTCTATTCATTAGAGTGAAAAACAATTGGATCTTGGTTATTGAAGTGGAAAACACTTGATCTTTCAAATTGATACCAAACTTATTTGGTGGCCTTATGTTTTTGGGTTTTACAAGGCCTTATTATGACTTGTTCTAAGTTTTATTTTTTCTTTTTGAAAGGTAAATACTATATTAACAAACATAAAGGATAATAAAGTCCTCAACCCTAGGTATCACTTCTAGATAATCTGAACTTACAAAAGAAGATGGTGAGTTAGTCTTAGCTAATTGGGATACCGCATGGGCAGTTTTGTTAAATAATCTATTTACATAACAAAAGTTAACTTTATGAAGGTTCCTTAATAACATCCTGGTTTTTGAAAAAAGCCATTGGCAAGACTAGGGAATATCCACATGCTGCATAAAGTTTCTTATAAGTTGTTGTGCATTGGAACATAGACAAACTTCTTCAAAATTCCCGTAAAACCTGCAAAATAGCAAATAGTTCAACTTGAATGACAGAATTAACTTGAGAGGTTCGTCCTCCAATTATTTTCATGTAGGACAAATTTCGTGATAAAATGATGAAGCCATAAGTATATAGGGAGTCTGAAATTTTTCCTACATTTGTAAAAACAATAAAGCCTGTAGTTGACTTATAAGAAGAGAGAATTTACTTTCCCTTAGTTGATTTAAAAGAGATTGAGAGTCATTAAGGCAAGCCATGGAGAGGTGGAAAGAGTGATTGACCATATGAGCAATTGAAAAGCTAAGATTTGTTTATTTTGAAAGGATTGTTCATTTCAAGCATACCAAATGTAATAATAGGCCATGGCAATCCAACCCAACACATGCATAAAAAGAGATTGATCAGGGATTAAATTATGCAAAATTTGAATACCCAAAGTTCAAGAATTTTGAAAAATATGTTGCAATTGAAGAGTCCAAGGATTGGCAAAGAGAACTGCTTGGGCAAATTGGCAATTAAGAAATAGATGATTTGAGGATTCTATTTCAAATTTGCAAAATACACAAAGTTTTTGATGATCTTCTAAGCAAAGGAGTTCTTTTACTGGGATGAAGTTGTTAATGATTCTCCATAAAATTAATTGGAAATGGGAAGGGATAGATAATTTCCATATTTTTGCGAGACAAAATTTTAATTCAAGAGTGATATTCGGAAGAAATATTTGCATTTCATTCTTTCATTCTTATAATTTTCCTTGATCGAATATTTTCCAGACCTATGGTTTTGCCAAATCTAGGAAAGATCATTGTTAGCAGGAAAGATAGGGGTTCCTAGAATTTTGGTAGCCTCTGGGAGGAAATAAAGAATAAATAAGGTTCTCATTCCAAGTCCTAAAAGGAGAGGAAGATGATTTTGCAGAAAAAATGGCAAGGTTCTTTGCAAACGCCTAGAGAAGACAGATCCCCTTTCTTGTAGAAGCCTCCAAAGGAAAACTCCCTGAAGATCAATGTGGATGGCTGTTTTGTGAAAGTGGGTCAAGCTGGTTTTGGCGCTATCAACAGAGATCATCTAGGATGCTATGAAGCTGTTGGTTTTGGGCCTGCTTCAGCTCAGTCACCTCTACAAGCTGAAGCTTTTGCTTGCCTCCAAGGCACTAACCTCGCAAAGAAGTATTGCAGGGGTCCTTTTGTGCTCGAAAGTGATAGCAAGATTCTGATGCAAGCATTAGCCTCAAAGAACCCAATTGGAGCTCATGATGCTTTCTTTTTTTGTAAAGATATTTTAGATTCTAGTAAGGACATGGATATTTCCTTCGCTTTCTCAGGCAGGGAAAGCAATGTGCTAGCTCATAGCCTAGCGAAAAAAGGCCTTTCGAACTCGGGTGTTCATATTGAAGCAATGCCTTTGTGGCTTGCAAATTGGGTGAATTTTCACCCTGATCTAATCTTCATTTTGTGAATATAATCTATGCTTACCAAAAAAAAAAATTCCAAGTTCCTCACAAAAGAAGGTTGGAAATATTTAAATTCAATAGGTGGGGAGCTAAGGGGAGAGAAACCCAAGAGAATTTAGATTCTGATTGGATCCAAGGGATTTGAGAAATCAGGAAAGACGAGTCTTCATTTACCAAATGCCCACATTCAAAAGCTAATTCAATTAATTTTGGACAAATAGCTTTCTAGTAAATAGAGCTTGAATCCGTAGAAGAATAAGGAAAGGAAGTATGATTTTTGAGATATTTGGACTTCCAAATATGAGCCCAAAGTTTATGTTGTTCATTTAGAAATTTCTAGGCAACTTTCTTAAGTAGACTTTGATTTACTAGATTTAATTTCTTAAATCCAAGGCCTTCATGAGATTGAGGCAGGGTTGGAGTGTTCTAGGAGCACCAATAGTAAGGATGCTTACACTCAATGGTTCTTGATTGTTTTTTCCATACACTCAATGGTTTTTTGAGGGAACTTAACTAAGGTCATTGCATGAAGAGGGATGGCCTGGAGAATAGATTGAATTAAGATTCTCTAACCAGCTTGGCTGATTTCCGAAGCCCTCCAATTATTTAATTTGGCTTTGAGATTTTCTAGAATATAGTTCAAGTTAACATGCTTATTCCTGGACCAAAAAAGGGGAAGACCCAGATATTTAGAATTTTTATTAATAGGTCCAATATTAATTTGCTTTCTGATCATACGTTGTAACCTTAGATGAATATTTTTACTACAATAAACCTTAGATTTCTTCAAATTAATTAGTTGACTAGAGGCGTCCTAAAAATCCATTAGAATTTGTTTGAGGTTTGCAATTTCATCTCTATGGGCTCTCAGAAAAATCATCACATCATTAGCAACGAAAAGGTGGGAAATTTTTGGAGAAGGAATAAGAGGGATGCCTTGAATTTTCCTATCTTGTTCAACTTTAAAAAGAATTCTAGAAAGACCCTCCATAGCTAAAATAAATAAATAGGGAGATAAAGGATCTCCTTGTTGAAGACCTTGGGATGGGTAGAAATGGCCTTCAAAAGGACCATTAATAAGGACTGAAAAGGAAACAATGGAGATACATTCCTTAATCAGGAGACAGAAGTCCTCGGAAAACCCTAACAAAGGCATGACTTTAAGTAGAAAATTCCATTCTAACCAATCATAGGCTTTTGTCTTATCTAATTTTAGAGCCATATAGCCTATACCTCTTTTTTTGTGTTTAAGGAAATGAAACATTTCCTGAGTAATGATAGAATTATTTGACATTTGACAACCCGGTACAAAATCTACTTGATTGGGAGCGATACACTTGTCCATAATAGTACGAAGATGACTGGTTATTAGCTTAGCTATGACTTTATAGGTTGATTATACCTCTTTTTTGATTGTCACCTATAAAGTCATAGCTAAGCTAATAACCAGTCATCTTCGTACTATTGTGGTTTAGTCTTTTCAGAAGCTTCTTATTTTGGAAAAACTCCTGGGCTATTGAAACTATGGCTGACATCCCATCTGGACCTAGGGATTTGAGACTCCTAATGCTAAAAAGAGCCGATTTCACTTCCTCAGTTGAGGGAGTAGTTAGGAGCATAGAATTATCCTCTTCAGAGACTACTGGGGTTATGACATGTGATAGCTCTTCTAATTTATTAGGCTCTTGGGTGGTATAGAGGGATGTAAAAAATTCTAGAAAAATATGAGCAATTTCATTGTGCGAGGTTTTCTAGTTGTTCTGTTCATCTTTGATGCCCTCAATGTAATTCCATTTCCTCCTAAAGAGAGTACTTTTATGAAAGAAGTTCGCGTTTCTTTCTCCTAGTTGCAGACAAGTTTGGCAAGAGTTCTGTCTCCAATAACTTTCCAATTGCCATTTAGACTGCTCATACTCCAAATACAGGCCACATAGATTTTGGTAAGACTCTGATTGTTCTGCTTGTAAGATTTGCACTTCCAAACATTTGAGTTTATCTTTAGGTTCTACAATGGTTTTCTTCCTCCAACTAATTAAATTCTTCTTTAGATTGTCTAATTTTTTGGTTAACTTGTAAGCCGCATAATCATTGGATTGGAATTTCTAGCCTTCTTCAATAACCTGTTGACAAGAGTTATCCGATAACCACATTTCAAAGAACCTAAAAGGTTTAAGGTTTCGAGTTGGATGATCTAAATTTAGAATGAGGGGATGATGACTAGAACTCCATTTGGTTCCTAAGGAGAGGGTTGCATTAGGAAAAAGGTCAAGCCACTCAGGAGAGGCTATTGCTCTATCAAGAGTTCGTTGAACATGGCTCTTACTTCGTTTATTAGACCAAGAAATTCCACCACCTTAGATATTTAATTCTAATAGATTGTGGTCTAAAATTAGATTTCTATATTGACGAGAAGCCAGGTAAGATATATGATTAGAAGTGGGGGGATCTAAGGCATCCAACGAGGCAACCTCATTAAAATCTCCTATTAATAAGTAGGAGAGAGAAGTGGACTATAACCAATTATTTAAA